TAGGCTAACTGTACTTAGGGTAGGTAGCACTCACACCCAGAACTATGCCAATCCAATTAGTGGACTAATTTACTAATCACACACCCTTAATCCCAACATCACACACTCTAGATCCAGCCACCTCTGAAAAAGCCCCACCTTGGACCACACAAGGCTTTGGGGCGACATCTAGACACAAGCTGTAACAGTATGGCAAAGATGTACTAATAAAATTTTTTTTAAATATGGTGATACATGGTGTCAGCCTAAGTATCACAAAACATAATCAGAGGATGTAAACTTCTGAAAAGAATAATTTGCAATACCTAACAAAACTTTAAATATACATAACTTTAACCCAAAATGCCCAACTACAACTTTATCACTCAGAGACATACTCAAGTATTTATACAAATAGCTGTGGATAAGACTCCTACTTTACCAGTTTTTAAAATAACAAAGGACTGGAAACAAACCACATATCCATCAATAGGAAAAATGTGTTAAATAAATTAAAACATACATACATGTAACACTACCAGTGGTTCACAGAACACAGCCCCATATGGAAAGGGCAGAGGGGATCCCAGGATTCCAGGTAGAAAGAAGGATAACACCTAACTATTTCGAATGTTTCAACTTGTGAATTGCTTTTTTCTAAGGATGTATACATGTATAGAAACTTTAATTCTGGAAAGATAAAATCACTGTTACAAACAATTGCCACTGAGCAGGTTCATGTAAGAACCTTCTGTTTTTTGCTAGACACACCTGTGGACGGACTGAAATTTGTTATCAAGGGCATGGATGATGTTTTTCAATGAACACAAAACTACCTAAAGCCAAATCTCAAAAACCCCCACAAAAAACAAAACCAGCAATAAATTATCTTGCCATGCACTGAAAACCAAAACATGCCTAAAGAATTCCATGTTTATGAATACATAACTACAATTCATCTTATTAGCATTCACACTTGACAGTGGATAAATCTCTGACCTATAATGATCTGAATAGCAGGTGTTTTCTCCACTCGTGGTAAAACAGCCTTTTATCAACTCTTAGGGTTTTCCCAGAATGGACCATATATGGAAAAAACAACAGTTTAAGGCAGAGAATTTGAAATGGAAAAAAACAAAGTAAAACCCCTGTGACCTGGCTCCCCTGAACAGCTGGCTTCGTGATGCTCAGCCACACCATCACTCTTGTTTTGATGACCTTATAGCTCCAGAAACAATGTATTTTAGAACTAGTAGGAAATAACAATAT